TGCAAGCAGCCGATTAAGCGCTCAAACACTAACAAACTGACAAGATCTTTCGCTGTCTATAGCCGGGTACCCATTCCCACCTGAGTGAAGTGAGGAAAATTCGTGTAAAGTGCCTTTCCCAAGGACACAACGTCGGGCCCTTGACGGGATTCGAACACACGACCTTACGGTTGCGAGTCCGAGAGCCTAACCACTAGGCCACCGATGCTGAAGCAATTAGGTTAGTTTGGCATTGATGCTATTACAGTACTTTACAACAATATCTATGACTCAAGACATAATATATACCAAAGGATCTACTCAATGAATGAACCACAGATGAAAAAATAACACTATAAAGCACTGTGCTGCATAGGAACTGAAAATGACGAATTTGATTTCCCTGTTTACATTTGAGTTCTCCAGTGATTACAAATGAGCTGGCATATTGCTTACGTTTTCCATTGAGTTGAAGTTGAACTCTCTATGTTGAATTAATTTGAGAATTTTGATTTGAACTTTCCTTGCTGCATTTGAATCATAGATTTACACTACGAGGCACTTTTAAAAAGGAGATAACTCTATGATTAGAATTCTCCATTTTTAAAATATTTTTATTGATCGTGAAGAGATGCAAATAAAATTTAAAAAATAAAAAATCTAGATAAAACACAATACTGCCGTCCTTTTAAAAAAATACATTAGGCCTACGCAGTTTTTACAGTTTTACAGGAGGGCCCAAAAAAAACCGAATGTTAATGTCAAGAAAACAAACTCTTTGCAAACATCGCAAGTCCATGTTTTTAAAATACAAGTTTGATTATACGTTCCCTATTATCTTTACAAGAAATGTCGTTTTTCATGGTAGCAACACTAAATCCAAGTAGTTTGGTTTTCACCTGTAAAATTTCTAAAAACTGTAATGTATTGTATTTAAAAATGACTGAAAAATAGATGTGCCTATCTCAGCCGCAAGTTAACTCTCTCTCTCTCTCTCTCTCTCTCTCTCTCTCTCTCTCTCTCT